AGCAGTGGGTGGGGTAGAATAGAGCATAGCAGCTGCCTAAATGGGTTTTATGAGCTTATAGATGTGGAGAAAGACGGACACAAACTCACCCTTCTTTCAAACCAAGAGAGATTCGCAACAGCATAAGAATACCTTCCACGCATGTACAAAAGGGAAAATTCTTTCCCATCCATGGTCAAAGCTTTATCCAAAAGCTCCTATGAAACAAAGAAATAACTCTGGAGTATTTCCTGACAAATCAGTGTACACCTTGAATTTTGTTCCCTCTTCAATCTTTTCCTTTGTAGGAAGAAAATCCGTTGCAGCTCCAGTCATGATTGCTGCCCATTTCAATGCGTCAAAGTCATTCTCATTTGCATGATATCCCTCCATAGCATATCTTCTTCCTAAAATTTCAAATTGTAAAAACAAGCATTTTTGTTAGGGCAAATAAGTACGTGTGAGCTACGCAGTCTCTATTTCAAGACCTTACAAACCTTCAAAAGTCAAATCCTTCCTCGCCTCCTTGTCGGAGGTACAAGTAGCTAATTCGTGGCAAAATTTGGCAAGCCTCCATAGCAGCTCAGACGATTTGTCGCCGCCGTCATAGCGCTAGAAAAGGGAATGAAAAAGTCTGTAAAAGTGCAGTAGCTTATGGAACGGAAAATCCTAAATGCAGCCTACCTTTTTCAGAACTGCGTATCCTTTCCGAGCGTTCTCTGTGCCATACATCAAGTCTATTTCCTCGAATGACTAAAATGATTTACTATGAGTGAAAAGGCTTCAAAGCTGAAATCGAATTATTCTTATTGAATCGTAAAATCTCGCTTTCGATCTCATAACATTGTTCTTATAAAATGGAAACTTATCAGCGAGCCTACAAAGGTACCTCTATACAAAAACATGCTATCGGACGACATGACTTTTCTGACACTAGCGGCCTTAAAACTACAGCAAGTCGCTGACAAGTCCACAGAGACTAGCAACATATTAACTCAGAATCTGTTTCCTAAATTCCTCAGGGAGGGAAAAAAGGAGTAAGAGAATAAACAGTGTTGATAGTTGTCATACCAACAGCTTACTGCATCTATGAATTTTTGACTCACTCCATTCCGACAT